TCACTACAGATCAGGACGAGGGCAGAGTGTTGCCAGCACTGCAGAAGGTGAAGCACCCCATCCCCAAGGTAAACACTGGCCTGGCCTTCATGGTAACTGTTCCTCCTCTGCAGTGCACAGCTTTTGTCCACCATCAGACCCACTCTCCATCCTCTGCCAACAGATTCCCTGTCCCCTGATTGCCATTAGAATTTAATCAAAGAAAGAACTAGAAGAGGAGTACAATGCAGGAGGAACAGGTGACTGGGAATTTCCTTGTCACCGGTTTAGACCAGTGTCTTGCAGCAGCTAATTCTACTCCTAAAGCTCTTGGCTCATGCTTCTCTGTGAGCCTTCTCTCAAAACAGAATTAAAGACAGAGAAAATCTTAAAAAACTACTGTAGAAAATTGTTTTTAGTTTGTGGCAACCAGTATGTTATTTTCTCAGTGATAACAATGGAAGACAGAATTCAATGAAATATGATCCTCAATAAGTTGAAAAATATGTCTGCAAAAACAAGATCTTACACCTTGAAAATATATCTTTCAAGACTGAAGGTGAATTAATATATTTTCAGGCAAGCACAAAGCTAGGTGGTTCATTACAGCAGCATTAGGAGAACTTTTGAAAGTCAGATGGAATAGAAATGATCACACACTGAGAAATCAATGTTTGTATTAATTAAGATTATAATTACATAAAGGGACTCAGTACCTAGTCTTACAGAATAAGAGGCAAAAGAGTCACAGTGGCTGCCTTTGGAATCAGAGGCAAAAGAATCCACAGTGGCAGGCTGTGTGCTGGAGAACAGAGGATCCAGTTGTAAAGGAAGGTTGAAGGCCTGGCAGATCCGAGTTACCCATGGGAATCTGCTACAAGGCTGAAAGTCTGTTTGGGGAGGCTGAAAAAACTGGAGCTCGATGACCTATGGCAACAGAAAACACTGGAGTTCTTCCAGCAAGGGGCACATTTGCTCCTTCTTTCCCTTCTTATTCTTTCCAGACCACAAAGCCATTGGCTGGTTCCACCTCCATCTTGAGTGGATCTTCCAGCCTGTTTGCTGGCCCGTGTGTCAGTCACTCACAGACACACCGAGAGATTTACTGATTTGCTAGGTGGTCATCACTAAAGTTAAGCTGACAGATTACAGTGAGGCCAGAAATTGAGGTGACTCCTTATCTCCTTCCATTCGTAGTTGCTTTCCTCCTTTTGTTCTGCAAGTCTGTCATTGAATTTCAGAGTTATTTTGTACAATTTCTTCAGAGCTTAGGATAAGAATGCAGTCATCTAAACACTGGGATTTGCTCACCCCTCTCCACTCGATGGGGCAGTACAGTGATGAAAATTTAAAGTACCAATTCACGCCAGCCAAATATTGGTCAATCTTCTGGGAACAATATAACTCCCAGCTTCACTTAGTACAAAGACAAACTTCCATCCATCTCCTGAGAGCACAGCAGATTTAAGTTTGGATTTCCCTTACTCTGAAGATTGGCCTTTTGAGTCTCAGCTTTACCAAGAGACAGTCTCCCATTAGGTGCCCCACTTTTGTCTTGGTTTCTCTGCAATACATTTTAGGGTTTTTAAAATTTTAATCTAGCATTTTTTATTTGTTCTAAGTGAAAGAATCAAATCAAATACCTAATTATCCCTACTCAGAAATGGGTTTCTACCCCTTTTGTTCAAAGCCAGCTCGAATGAGGTCACTTGCATATGAAAAAGACATAACTTAGATAAAGAGACACAGCCACCTTGCATTCAAATAATATATTAAAAGGACGGCCAGACGCTCTGGAGATTTTCCGGTATCTTCCTTTGTCACCTGATGACTTTTTAAAATAAACTCCTTAGAAACTGAGACATACACTGCTTCTTTTTTTTAATGAGTACAGGTCACCTACATAATGATCACAGTCACTGTGGAGAGTTTCTATCTGTACACAATGTATCTTAATTCTTTTTTCCCATTCCCCTTCCCTTCAGCCCTTCTTTTCCTCCCAATTTACAGAAGCTCTGTTTCCATTTTTTCCGTCAATTCTCTTTTTTAAAATCCCTTTTTCCTTCTTTCCCTTCCTCTTCCCCCATCCTCGTTCCCCTTCACATTTGAATAAATTCTAATAGATGCACGCTGTCTCCCTAGTGTATTCTGTGCATCAACTTCTGCCACCCAGTGGGTGCTGATTAACTTAGGGTCCTATCTATGCATGTAGGCCACACCAACCCTCAGAACTGTGGACCAGACTCACTCATTCTTTATTTATTGAGTGTGTCTTGTACAACACTAAAAACATGGCAAACTAACACACCCAGGATCTCCCCCTCATGCAGTCCAATGAGAAGCACAAATGAGTAAGAGGACATTCAATAAAACAGGCAAAGGAAACATAGGAGCCAGGCGTGGTGCACATCCCTAAAATCCAGTCTGGGAAACTGAAGCAGGAAGATCACAAATTCTAGCTCAGCCTGGATAAATTAGTGAATTAGCAAGAGTTTAGCTCATAAAAACATTTTAAACATAGGGATGTACGTCAGTGCAAAGGTCCTGGGTTCATTCTCCATTACTGAAAAAAATAAAGGGAATGCACACATGGAAATGGTGCAGTGGAACTGTGTGATAAATTTGGGAAAGCGTCCTGGTGAGCACACAGAAAGATGTCAAAGATGCCAAAAACTGCACTTCTTGTCTTCTAAGAAAGACGTGTAATTTTTAAGGAATTAAAATCATGAGAGAAACTTGCCAATCCCAAACTGTATATTAAGGGGATAAAAAGAAAAGATTTTGAACAAGAGGATCTCTAGACTTGTTAATATGTAATCTATCAAGGAAATTCTTTTAAGCAGTGTCCACGCCAAATGCATTTAAACAATAGAAACTTAGGCATCTGTCATACATAGAACATCCATTCTTCCCAGGTATCTATTATCTTAAACAAAGTACACCACTGGGATAATTTGCTAGTTGAGCCTAAGAAGCTGACTGAACTGGATAACCCCAAGAGCCTCTTCTACACGAAGCCCTAGAATGTGCTGGGCCCTGCGGTCAGGGTGTGTCTTTCAAGGAAGTGTTTGGATTTATGGGGCCATCTCTGGTGAGTGTTCCTGATGTCTTCTGACTGTGCTCCCCAGGCTCAGTACTCAGGAAAGCAGCTCTGCCTCCTTAAATCCTGCCTGGACCTCTCCTAAGTCACCCACCAGGCACATCCGAGCCAGAACCCTTTGTGCTTCCCCCACTTGCAAAGCAGGTCTGAGAAAGAAAGAATTCTCATATTTAAAACAAAGTAGAGTGATTCAATTTTTTATAAAAGTTACCTTAAATTTTTCAACCTTTCAATACACTTATTTCTCCTCACTTCAGTACAGATTCATTTTGAAGAGATTCATTTAACAAGAAAGAAACTTTAAAAATATCATAACTTTGTATTTTCTCCTCTTAAGCCAATAAGATTAAAATATAATTTTCCCAGAGCAAGGCTGAATTTCTAAGTATGCATATTACATTAGGAAAATGTTGCTATGATGTTAGCTACCTCAATGGCAGAACAGTTCCCAAATAAGCAACCGTACAACACTGTCAGTGTCTAAAATCTAAGCCAGAAGGGCAGAAAAATAATCTGTGTCCACATCTCAGATCACATCTAATCACATTAACTTCAAATGAGCATTGACACCTTGATTCATGAACTAGTGATGTTTATTTTTTTTAATGTCTTCATCAACGCCATATTCGTATAGTGTCAGACAATAATCTGTCCAAGTGCTGGGTCTCATTCTATTGAAAATAATGTAATAATGTATGGTAATTATAAAAACCATATTCATTATAAAACTCTTCTTCATATGACTCCAATACACTTTTCAAAATAATTGTTCATAACATCTTAAGGATATGCTTGACAGAAGTTTTAGTGAAAGGCAAAAAAAATGTGTGTACTGACTCAGCTTACATTAGTTCTACTTCCCTCACTTAAAAGAAATGGTCCATAAATCAATCCTAGAAGAACAAAGAGAAATTCAAGGAACAGGCAGCTCACGCCTTCTTTGACTTTACATGAGAAGAACAAGATGAATAGCTAAAATAAACCTCCAGTGATTGCTTGTAATTACAGCATTATCACCGAGAGACACTGTGTAGAACAAAACAGTATTGCTGCAGTGTTCTAGATGCATCCTCAGGTCTGCAGCTGTCTACACAAGGCACAGAGATCAAGATGTCAGACTTAAAAGCAAAAATTGTAAAACATCTCTCTCTCCCTTGCCTTTAATCTCTTCTCATGGCTTCATTTCTTTCTACTTCACCACCTATTTCTCTCAAAACAGATGAGAAAGTTATAGAAGGAGATGAAGGTTCTGACAGAGTTCAGAGCGAGGCCAGAACAGAGTCTGAAAGTCTACTCGAAAAATCATTAAATTCACCAGCAGAAAATGAGTTACTGATTACGTTAAAAGTTCTGTTGCTGCATTCATCTGTGTCTCCTTGCATAGGTATCGCCTGGCTGATATCCAGGGCACACTTGTTTGTGGCTTTGTATGGAGCAGGGGTCAGCCCAAAACCCACACAGTCCTTATCTCCTCCGTGGATAAGGAGGAGTAGAAATGTGTGGTCAGGATCCCTGCAGTATCCTGGCTCCAGCATGAAACTCTCTGGGGCCGTGGGTTCTGTCTTCTCCTCCTTTCTGCACCTGGTCAGTGAGCCAGCTTCATGATTCCCACTTAAAAGTACAATCCCTCTACCCTGGGTTGGTCGCTAGGTCTTCACCAAACACACTTTAAGTTTTTAATTTCCTTTTTAATGTAATGTACTGGGCTCCTTTCATTTCCAAGTTGATGACACGCTGTTCTCTGCCAGTCTGGGCCCCAGAGGTTAGAGGGAAGGCTGTCACCAGAAGAGGAGGACACTGACAGTCAGCATGCTGATGGTAGACATCCTGCAGTCCCCTGCTTGGTGCCTGTGTGTGAGCAGTGTTATGGGTTAGATGTAAAAAGTTCTGTGAGTGGAAAGTGACCAGATCTCGGGACAGGATGCGCATCAGTGTCTTCATCCGTGAATGGGTTCAGCAGCTGATGTGCTGTCTGGAGGTGAGCCTGGTGGAGATGGGCCACTGGGCTTGGGCTGGACAGTGGTAATCTTGTCTCTGACTCCTCTCCTCGTTTTCTCTTTCTCGGGTACAACATGGTGAAGAGTTTTCCCCTGCCTCATGACTCTGCCGCACTGCTTTTGTCTCGGAGCCAGTCAACCATGGACTGAATCCACTGAAGCTGTGAGCCACAATGAACTGCTCCGCCTTTAAGTTATGGGCATTAGATAACCTGTTCCAGGGACAAACAGGTGACTAAGACAAGAAGGGACACTCGGTCACTTTAGTGTGGAAACCTTCTGCCATTGCCCATGGCTGTGGGTTGAAACTAAAAGCAGTAAGTAAAGCTGACCTCGGGATACGTATCTAGCTCACTACTGCCTGTGTTAGAAAAGCTGCAAGATGGCCCACAGTGTGGTTCCTCTTTAGGAAGTAACAGAGGCTACAGGTACAGGTGTGGCTGTGTCTGTGTGATTGTTCCTTCAAGGTGTGTGAGTTCCATCACAGCTAGAGGGTTTTATTTTCAAATTAAACTTCCTACTGAGAAAATGCATGAATATTTGCTAGAATGGGCCCGGCTCTCACCAGTGACCATATGCCTATAGTAATCAAGCATGTATTAATGCCTGCGTACCATGCACCTCCCTGAACACTAAGGGTCCACAACAAACACTCTTTCCCTCAGGATGTGTACATTTCAGTGGGGAAGATGGGCAGTAATGGTGGCAAATGTTAAACAGGAAAAATAAAGAACTCAGATATGAAATCTTCATCTCAGTATTTGACATTTTACATAAGAAAGTCATGGAGCCCTCAGGAAGAGAGTGCTTCTCAGCATCTGAGTGAACTGAAGGACCAGGCCACACACATTTCTTGAGGACCAGGAACCCAGGTAGAGGGCGGCAAGGATGACAGCTTCGAGGCGGGAGTGTTTGCGGAGAGCATAGGAACAGGAAGGACATCTGTGTCCTGGTGGGAAGGAACAATCAACAGAAGTCAGAGCTTTCCTGTAACTTGTGAGCCCATGTGTGATCAGGTTCTACAAATAAACTACTCCAGACGTGGTGGTGCAGTCCTGTCATCCCAGCACTCAGGAGGCTGAGGCAGGAGGACCACCGCAAGTTGGAGCCCAACCTTGGCTACAAAGTGAGATCGAGGCCAGCCTGAACTGTATAGTGAGACCCTGTCTCAAAAAGACAAAAAAAAAAAAAAATTGCACTGCTTTAAATAAAATCACTGGAGGATTTTCAGCAATCCATGTGAGGTGATCTGCCATGTATTTTTAAAAGATCAACCTGGAGAGCCAAAGCATTGAACAGATCATGGATATGAATGTTGACCCACAGAACTATAACAGTAATAACGTTAAAGAGTTAACCGGAAACTAAAACACAAGGATAAGATAGAACAGGCTGAGGATGGAAGGATTCTAATGACTGCGACAAAGAATGACCTCATTCTATGGCAAAAGTATCCTGACGCGGTCTGTGGCAACTGTCTCTGACTAGGCACCACGTGGCCCTCAGACCCCTTGTGAACCCCAAGATCATCCAGCACCCATCAGACCTTTGTGTCAAAATTAAGAGCAACGGGCGGAGACCCAGGGGCGTGGACAGCAGAGCACAGAGAAGGTTCCAGGCCTGGACCTTGATGCCCAGCGCAGGAAGCAGCAGAGAGACAGCGCGGCCGCAGGGGCTTCCGGAGTCCCCCGTGCATGGCGTGGAGGGCCCGGAGCTGCTGCCGCTGGGCTGCGGGTCTTACAGCGCGGAGATTGTGGGCCACGTCCTCCAGGAACCGCAATGCCACCATGGGAAGAGCGGCCTGGACGGCCATCAAGGCCCCGACCCTAACGCCAGGCTGCACCGTGGAGCAAACGTGTAGACTGCTCCTGTGCGTGTTTATTTGCGCTTCAATAAAATCACAAAGACTGCCAAAAAAGAGCCCTGCTCGCTGCCACCCCTACTTCGGTGATGCCTTCCATGCCTTCTTGCCTTCCCTGCCCTCACTTGCCGGTCCACACCATGCTCCAGAAACACAGTCTTCTCAGGTCGGCTCACTCTGCCCCTTGTCTTCCTGCCGACCCATTTTCATGACCAGGAAAGCGCTGCCCCGAGAAGAGCTGCCGGCTTCGCTTGTGACCTGATGAGTGACCGAAAGGCGCAGAGACAGAACTCGCCCACGTGAGCATCCTCACGACAGCGGTTGCTAAGGGAATAAGGCTGGCCCCGGGTGTCATCGAAAATCACGCGAAACATAAAACACCATGTAAGAAAGTAATGCTTTGCTGAAGCATTTATAACACAACCGAAAGGTAAACCTGGAAGATGGTTCTCAGAACTGCCAGAAACCCAGGCGACCTCTGCTGAGCTGTGGCTGTGAGGGCTCACTTCACCCAGAATTTGTTCTGTGAAAGAGCTGCTGGTATAACCAGCGACACTGAGCACGTGTTCTTCCCCTCCGGTTCCCCAAGGTCCCCGGGAGTCACTGTTAACTCCAGAAGCATTCGGGCTGCACACATGATTGCACCCACTTGATAGGATTGCAAATCTGTCTTAAATTGCCCGAAAACCTTTCACCTTTACTCTTAAAGCTCACTAGACTAAAGCCTCCCTAATCCAGGTGATGATCGAGTCTTAATGGATTGTAAAATATCTCACAGGTGTTACCCCACCAACACCAAATAAAACCAAACAAAAGTTCCAGTCTCCACATCAGAGGCACGGAACCGGCCCACAATTCCTGCAGTTCTTACAAAGACAAATATTGGAGGAGTTTGCACAGCAGCAGGCTTGGGGTGGAATTCCAAGCAGGCCCTGGACAGCAGCGCTCAGTCCAGCTGAGCCCCTGTGCTCCCCAGAAAGAGCACAATTCGAAGTTCATAGGTTTGTGTGATAAAGAAAAACACCATCGTGAGTTCGATCCCCCATACAAAAAAAGAAAAGAAGAAAAAAATCCCCCAAAGTGCCTGATGCTTACTGGTACCTGAATGTTGATTGATTAAATTCATTCCTTTATCAGGAAGATCATGAATGTAAAAGCTGAGGGACCCAGCATAAATGGGACAGAGTGGGACTGAGGACCGGATGATACTCAGTCTTTAGGAGGCCGCTGCTCTTAAGCTGTGCCCGACTGTTTCCTGCAGAGGTGGCTCCAGTGCCGTGACACTGGTGCCTTTTCCTGCCTTGTGGCAGTGAGTGGGAAGCAGGGGACAGGCCGAGGAAGGTCATGGTCGAATGTCGGTGAGGTTAAAGCTTTGCCGCCTATCGCCCTTAATGACAAGGCTTGGGTCTTGGCAAGATTTTCAGGCAGAATTCTAAGTGAGAAAGTGAGGTGCCTCATGGAATAAAGGTCCCTAACTGCTCCTCCTAACTTTAACAGTTATTCAGTCTATGTCTTTTGGTTTCCCAGCACTGGATGTTGATTGCTGGGTTCTGGTTGGTCACATATATTTGGCAAATCAATGGAGCCAGCTTGCTTATCGTTTGCAGGCTGCCACATCTCTATTAAGCAGCAGATCATTCTTTGTAGGTTTTCTTTCAGCAGGTCTTTCAATCAGCATAATTAGCTGAGCACCTGTTATGTACATGGAGCTATGGTATAGGTGTCCCAGTGTGAAGCACAGGAAATAAAGCTGCAAATGAGTTTTCTTGTCCTCTCAGGCCACTGAAACACAACTGAAAAGACAGGTGAAAATGGTCAAGGAACCACCAAGGGAAACGAAGCCAACCTGCTGTATTGTGACCTTCTTTATAAGACCCGACTTCTCCCTTGCCAGACCAGCCAGGATCCTCGACTGACTCAGCTGCCGAGAGCCAGGAGATGCTGACCTCTTCAGGAGTTCCAAAAGCCCTAAAGCAAGAGCCTTCTTCCTTATAGAAGAGAAAGGCTGGATGCTTCCTCCCAAATGACTTGCACTTTTCCTTGCAGACAAGAAAGCAGTGCTGCTTGTGCTCCAGGAGCTCAGTTTTCTCATAGGAAATCACTTCCTAGTTTTATCTACACCCCAGATTTCTTCTACATAACTCAGGATCAAGGGTGGGATGCTGGGGAGGGGCCAATTCTTCACTCTGACGTCTTCAGAGTAGTGACAGGTCAGCGTTGCCTAACTGTTCCTTCCTGTAAAATGAAAGCCCCCTGCCCTGGAGGTTTCTATGCTTCTCATGGGATAAATCTGGGTAGATGTTGTATTAGTCAGCTTTTCATTGCTGTAGTGAAATACATAAGTCAGACTAACGGGGTTTATCTAGCTCACAGTTGGAAGGTCAAGGTTCCACATTCAGTGGCTCCATTAGTTCAGGAGCATGTGTTGGAACGGTCATATCTCAAACGAAGAGGTAGAAAGAAAGGAAGGAGACAGGTTTGTCCTTTTGTAACAACCCACTCATGAGAAAAAACAGGACACTCCCACAAGGACCTAAAGATACCCCACTGGTCCCTAATTCTTAAATTCCCATCACCTCCCAGTGTTGCCCATAGGTAGATGACACCTTCAACAGAGAGACCCTGGGAAACACTACAGCAGACCACAGCTTCCCCGCTTCCCTTCAGATGTCTGCACACAGAGCGCACACAAGCCGTACCTATCACCCTGTACCCCCCACACCGCCAAGTAAAAGGCTGGAAGCCAGGGAGGTGTCTATCACTGAGTCCTGTGGTCAACCTCATCACCAAGAGGTACAGGCTGCACCTGCTGCAGATGATCCCAGAGAAAGCTGAAGGCAGAGAGTGGGCATCAGAGGAGATGAGTACTGTCCTGGAGGCTGTGTGATGGCTGGTTCTTTCAGGTGTGGGGTTTCTGCAATTCGCTTGAATCCCTGCTCTTACCCAGCAGGAGAGCCATTAGCATTGTGTGTCTGGCTCTTGAAAGACTGCCTTTTTGCCTTTGGCACAGTTATACTGAGTCTTTGATCTAATTCCTCACATCCACAATGAGATACATTGTCAGCTCCAAGAGATACATCTCCTTTCAAGGGCCTGCAGTGTTCTCAGGTGAGTATACATCAGAATCGCCTAAGGGAGCTGTTCAAATACAGATTTCTGGCTTCCATGTTCCCAGTTTGTGAAGGAGGAGGCCTGAGGTTGGCCTGAGAATGTGCATTTCCAGCCCTTTCCCTAGTGATGCTGCTGCTTTTCCTGAAGTATCTTTCAGGGACTGCTCTGCGAACACCTGCTGGTGTCTGGCTCCCGTGGGTTTCTGAGCTGAGTAGTTGGTCACAGTGAACACACAGGTGGCATCAAGAAACCGCCAGAAGGCAGATGCTAGGAAGGTGCACAGTTGCTCCCCTCAGAAAGTATCTCACCTTCACTCCCACTTCCTAGGACAGCCTCCATGTCTGCCCGATTTTGTATCCGCTTGATTTGTGATGCTGTAGAATTTCAGGCACTCACCGTTTAGTGCGCCTACTCATCTGTTGAATCCCGTGTCTCTAAAAAGCTGTGATACAAAGTTTTAGTGTTGCTTCCAATCAGCTTTACAAAATATGAAATAGAAGGCTGCAGGAGCAACCAGACTAAAGCTTCCTCAGGTGCCCTTCACATCTGCAAGGTCAAAACGCCTACTGGGCTATCGCGAGTCACCTGTGTGCTCTCTTCATGCCTAAGGGACTGCACAGAGAGAGCCATTAAAGACTTCTTGTTAAAACACTGAGTCCACATGGCCTCCAACAGCCCATCCTAGCAACAACAACTTGTAAAATTAATTTTAAATCCTTATTGAATCTCTTGGTAATTATAATTATTGGTTGAGAAAAATGTTAAGACAATATAGAAATGTTGATTTTCCACATTCATGCTTTGCTCCCGTCCAGGTAAACCAAAATTCAATGATGTGAATGCACTCATTCCATGAGTCAGGGTTAAATTCCAGGAGGAACAACTGCAACCTGCGCTAGGGTTGAGCCCTGAGGTTTCCGCTGCCCTGGATTTAGTACCTGAGCTAGAGGATCCTAGACCCCCATTTTCCATCATGAGAGGCGACAGTTTAGAGCCCAAAAACTGGCCTGAGAAGCAACCAGGTGAGTACAAGGCCCCACAGAGGCTGGAAAAGAAGAACCAGGAACATAAAACACTGCCCTGCAGCCCCTCTATCTGCACGGCCGTCTTCACCAGTGCAAGTCTCACGGGTGCTATAGATGGCTTTGCATCTTCTGATTTGGGGTTTTCCAAAGATCCTTTGCCTTCAGACGTCTTCACAGAAACTGGAGTTGAATCAGACTTGCACTTGAATTATAGTGGTGGTTGTCAGGGTGTGGTGATCAGGATTGGGGAAGGAGGGGATCAATGTCCTGAGGGGACAAAGTCCCTGTGAGATAGGACAAATAACTTTTGAAGTCCTGCCCGACAGTGTGGTGACCACAGGTAATAATGATGCACTGTTGGTTCACAGTCGCTGAAGCAGCCCATCTGCGGAGTTCTCACCGCGGAGAACACACACAGGAGGAGGCGGACAGGTCAGTTAGCAAGCTGTAAGCATGCTACAAAGTACACAGTATCAAACACCCTACTGTGCCCCATAAATATATGTGGATGGTAAAATACAGAGTGAGTATTAATATTTAAAGATTTATGACAGTAAATAACTGATTTTCATTATCCCCCTCAAAAATGTCCCTCGTTTCAGACACATGTGTCTCATAATTCTTAGAACTTTCTGAAGCAGCTCCAGAAGTCCTCTCACACCCTTACAGGAAAATCAGTAGTGTGATTAGAACTCCAGTGACCGTGGCTGCCCTGTGCCACCCAGCAGAAAGGTGGCTCCTGAGAACTTAACAGCGGGTCCTCCTCCCCCTCATCCACCACATCCATCACCATGCAGCTCTGGCCTTTTCCACAGCCAAAGTGACCACTAAAGTCTTATGTTTTGAATCAATCCACGACATCAT